TACACACACATACCACACACAAATATACACATACACACTTTGCACTATGTTTTGTAAGTGAATAATTTTTAAGGAATTATTTTCTTCCATCAGCAGTATTACTTTCTGTCCTAGAGAAATGCAAAGGGAATAGAAAAACTGTGGGAGGCCCAATGTATACTACAATGACCAGAGAAAGAAACTGAAATACAGAAATCCTTTCTTATATTCCCTCTCCAGTGAGAAACTTCAATACTCAGGTGTACTCTTAGTACTCAGACTAGTCTTTGGAAAAAAGACCATACATGTTAGCTTCTAATAAAAAGCCAAGCTAATTGCATTATTTGGAGGAATCACAAACTACTTCTTCATTCTCTTTATTGCTATTCAACACAAGAAAAGCTATTGACTACCTTTGGGGCAGAATAAATGCAATCATCACCATAGTAACCAAAAGTCTAACTATCCGGGGGTAGCTGAGGAAGTCGCAGGAATGATTTGCTCTAAGAAAGCAATTTTAATCATTAAACATGGAGAAAACATTTATTTGAAACCTGACAGAGGAGTTTAGGGATATCCAGAGCAAAATGGAATCTGCAAGGGCACCAGATACCCTCCTGAGTTCTGACCATAAATCTGACTATCAGCTCTTGACTAAAACCATAGAATTTATTAATGTTCCTTTTTTGTTGTTGTTGTTGTTTGTATTGGGGATTAAACCCAGAGGTACTTAACCACTGAACCACATCCCCAGACCTTTTCATTTTTTGTTTTGAGACACAGTCTCACTAAGTTACCTAGGGCCTGGCTAAATTGCTGGGGCTAGCTTTGAATATGCAATCTTTCCCTCAGCCTCCCAAGCCTCTGGGATTACAGGCATGTGACATTGTGCCAGGCTATTAATGTGCCCTTTTTTATTTCTATAATCAGTAACTTTAGCCTTCTCTATTTTTAATCCATCTTGCAAAGACTTTATCAATTTTATTAGTCTTTAAAATGTTTTGGGGTTTGTTAATGTTTTCTATTCTATATTCTTATTTTATTAATATTTGTTCTGTGGGTCATTTATTTCTACTATCGATTGTTTCTTCTGCTTTTTGACCATATTTTCTTCTCTTTAAGAGATTTATTTTTTATTAGCAATGCATACAAAAAATTATATAGATAAATTTAGACCTTGGGTGACATTCTTTTTTCAGAGAGGTTTTAATTAGTTTTTTCTAGTAGCTATGTTCTCTGTCTTCAATCACATTTTAACAACTGAATTGATACCAACACAGTTTATTTTCAGATCATTCTTACAATGTCATAGCCCTTCAAAGTTTTAAGCCCTAAGTATGATGGTTAGCCAGAACTCTCCCTTACTGTAATACCGTCACAAATGTTCCTCAGATTTTGCCTGTCACCTGGATATTACAAATTCATAGATCCCTGGAGAAGCAGCAGCCCTAAATACTGTATTTATCCCTCTGGATTTTCCTTTCTCTCCTAACCCTAGACTCAATTTTTCTCTTTTTATCTCTCTGGTTCCATGGAGAATTTTCCTTTTAACTTTGTCCCTCTTGATATCGCAGTTGGAAAGTTTTTTTGTTTATTTGTTTGTTTTGTGATACTTCAGACTGAACCCAGCAGTGCTCTATTACTGAGTTATATCCCCAGTCCTTTCTTATTTTTTATTTATTAAAAAAATTTTTTGGGTAGGGTACTGGGGATTGACTCAGGGGTACTCAACCACTAAACCATATCCCCAGCCCTATTTTTTATATTTTATTTAGAGACAGTTGCTTAGTACCTCACCATTGCTGAGGCTGGCTTTGAACTTGTGATTCTCCTGCCGGAGCCTCCCAACCAAGATCATAGGCATGCACCACCACACTCAGCTCTTAATTTTATTTTGAGACAGGGTCTCACTAAGTTGCCCAGGCTCACCTTGAACTTGTATTCCTCCTGCCTCAGCCTCCTGAGAAGCACACACCACCATACCTGGTGAAAAATTAGTTTAATGTCCTCATCTCTCATCTATGAAAGTGAAAGTTCCAAGCCTATGTCTATTATCTTCTCAATTGTTTAAAAAATAATTATTCCTTCTAGTACCATATGATGTGCATTTTTGTCAACAACTATTATCATGGTATTTCTTTTTAATAGTAATTTTAAATTCACTAAAATTAAAATGTCTGACCTCAAGCCTTGATGGAATCATGATTGAAATGTAAATTCCACAAGGGCAGGAAATTTTGTTCAATGGGATTTAATCAGCACCTCAAACAGTGGGTGGCATTTAGTAGGCTTTCAGTAAATAATTTTGCACTTAAATGAATGACAAAAAAATGGAGTTGGTTCTTTGGCATCCAAGTGAAAGATCATGAATTCTTTGTTTATTTACTACATGATGATTTGTCTTATCTCTTTCCCAAATATACAATTTGATGTAGCTTGAAAACTGCAATTAAGGGACATTTCTATGGCATGTTATGTAGAGCAAGTTTTTCTTATCATTTTCTTTGGATCTCTGGTGGTCTTTTTCAGAGTATGATTTAAATAACTCCCCTGATTAGAAGTTGCATGGGCAATAAGTTACAGAAAGGAAGAGGAGTGAATCCACACTGTGGATAAAATATATCTGTCTCACTAACAGTTCCAGCCTAAATGCATGCCTCTGTTACCAAACGGTTCTGGAGTTTAGTATGCCTCTTTTCCTGCTAGGATATGATGCCTTTCCAAATTAGGGAGGACCTAATGGGTTGTCTGGATCTTCCCTCATTGCTTTGATCAGTACCTTTGACCTTTGTTTTGTGGTACTGGAGACTGTGGTACATTGACCTCTAAATTTCTTCTTAGTCCAAACTTATCTGGTCAATCCGAGCAGTCAGATCCAATTGCCAATAGCCTAAAGTAGAAAATGGTTTTCTTGATCTAAAATTAATTCAGTTTTATAATATTTCTGCCTTGCCAATAAATGGTTCAATGTGTGTTTTAAACTTCACCGTCATTCCTATGTGCAAGTCAAGGACTACTGAGAATCCAGAGCTCTCTAATGTTTTACCTCTGAATACAGGGCCCAGCTCCAGGGCAAAGGTTTAGATCTAGTCCTTCATTGTTTTAGGCAGAAAACCTAAATGCTAAATATTGTATTTCTTTTTTTTTTTCAGTCATCTGTTGAACCTCAAGTAATTATTTTACCATTTCTATACAACTTTAATGTACAGCATCACTTTCTGTAGTCGTGGTTATAGCCCAATACATTTCTTAATAGAGTGGAGCTGACAAAAATTGTTGGAAGTATAAGTGTTCCTATTATTTTTATAGTGGTCTGGAAAAGAAAGTAATGTGTCCATGAAACAAAAGCCCTTTTTTTCATGCTGGGTTTTCTTTTTCTTTCCATCCCAATCCAATGTCCTCCCTCCAATCACATTCCTTGGGTCCAGGGTCCAGTTATTTGGTTAACTGAGGAATTTTCCTGTTCAGTATTTTTTTCCCACTCTCCTCCCAGGGACTGGTAATGTGGCAGACTTGCGCCCACTCTAGATGATTCCACATTTTTTTTCATTCAGCTTGAAACCAGACCATATAACTGCAATAGTTAGGGCACAGCTCTGGTACCCAGTTACCTGAGCCTTTGAAGTCGAGGATTCTGCCTGCCCTGAGTAAATTCACCATGAGATATTTTCATTGTTGTGAAGGGTGCCAACTTATGAACTAAATGTATAAGACCTTGTATTGTTAGTTTTCTCATAGTCAAAATTGGTGCTAACATGGAAAAGCTGTCAGGAAAGACACAGCAGCAAGTAGGTCTTCCCATGAGTACTAGCATGTTCCACGTGGATTTACATTTGTTCCCCCTGGTCAAAGATGGGGCTCTGCTATATCATAATCATCTGATTCTCTTGGTTGGCACCTCTTCTGATGTTTGGGCCTTTAGACAATTGTGGCAATGTCTATATTACTGGATCTTTGGTCAGACCCTGTATGCAGGGATGGGGTAAGAGAATCGATCAGAGTGTAGGTAGCAGAGACTGATGCTCGGTCCAAACCCTGCCTCTTCTTATATGAGTTTTGGACGCAATTTTTAACTTCCCTGAGCTCTGGTTTTCCTCCCTGGGAAAATGGATGCATCACAATACCTAACTCTTATGGTGCTGACAGGATTAAATGAGACAATCTGTATTAAGTGCTTAGCCTGGTGACTGGCCCACAGTGCACGCTCAACATCTATTACTATTATTATTATAGAAAAATCCACTTTATAAAACTGCAGATTTATTTTCAATGACTCAAATTTGTCATGGCAACTAGGAACCTGCTTAATTGGCACTTAAGCTTTTTTAGATGAAAATCTTAGCTGCGGTCAAAGAGCATGTCACAGTGCAACTTCTTGTCCTATTACATGAATACAATTTCTGTACTCCACTGTGCTGCACGGCCCTCATTGTCTGCCCACTCTGCCTGCCTGGGATGTATATGTGAACTATGCCAAGCCTCCCTCACCTCTGAATGCTTCCTCACACTGCTCCCCTGCGTTTCTCTCCCACAACATATTTGAGACTCTTATCACAGTACTCATGAACATTTTCTTCTCTTTCTTCCCTTTCAATAAGAATTCTTAATTGTGCAAACTCAGCATCAAGAGTAACTAAGATGCCTAAACAGCACGCACGCACGCATGCGCAGGCACACACATACACACACACACACATTCATTTGCAGTCATAGCCTCTGTGGAGTCCTTTCTGAAGCATTAAAAGACTGTAAAAATGTAAGATGATTTATCAATGTGAGACCAGCCAAAATTTCTTGAAGGCTCAAATAGAACTCTCATTCATTTTTAGACATTTTTTTTTCTTGGAAACAATAGGAAACATTATGCAGGTTTTGTCTTCCTAGGATGGATGGGCAGCTGGTGATTGAAGAGCCATTCATCGACAGTCCTGACACTGCCTCTCCCCATTGGGTCTCTGTGAGAGTCACATGCTCTAGATGTCTTTGAAAAGAATCTTCTGAGGCCTCAGAGTCTCATCTCAGTCTCCTGAATCCTACCAAGAATTGTGTTCAACTCTCAGTCGTCACCATGAGCAACAAATTCTTGGGCACCTGGAAACTTGTCTCCAGTGAGCACTTTGATGATTACATGAAGGCTCTAGGTAAGAAATGCTCCTTGTTCTGGCTGCAAAGATCCTTTCTAGGAAAACTGTCTAATATTTCCTTCTGATTTCGTTTCTAGGAGACTGGGGATGTTTACACAGTCTGAAGTACAGTCCTGGGATTAATCTTATGTCATTCGGATAATTTACTTGTGTTTTATCCGTGTCAGTTGTACTAGAACTGAATTTAAACTACTGAAATGCCTGGAACTCACACTGATCCAAAGGCAGTTTCATACCAATAAGGTTTTCATTGGAAACCTGGAAGAAAGACATTTTAGAAGCTTAGTCAACCTATTCACTGACTTTTATGATAACTTTTTTTTTATAGCAACTAAGGTACATGTAAAATAAGGAGTTGAATGATAGAAAACCTCCATTTAAGCTGGGTACATGGCTATAATCCCAGATACTTGGGAGGCTGAGGCAGGAGGATCACAAATTTGAGGCTAGCCTGGTCAATTCAGAGAGACTCAATCTGAAAAAAAAAAAAAATTTGTAAAGGCCTGGGTATATAGCTCAGTGGTAGAACAATTGTCTACTGTGCACAAGGCTCTGGGTTCAATCCCCAGTACTAAAACTAAAACAGACAAAAATCTCAGTTTAAAATTTTGGTATTGAGGCAAACTAAAAAAATTTTTCTATTTCTGTCCATTATTACAGAATCATGTAGGATGTTCATGTCCTAGTGCAGGTGCTGAGAGGAAAAAGAAACCAGGTTTGTGGTAGTGAATTCAAACTCTGTTACCCAATCATCAGACTTTCCTGATGTTGGAGCAGAAGATGGAAATCAAAAATCAGCCTTGATTACAACTGTACTTCATACCATTTCTGGAGAATGTTCCAGAAACACAATAGATAAGAAAAGTCTTTGGAAATTTCCAGAATTGTGTAAATATAGTAGAGAATGAAGGTGATAACATCAGGTTGCCATGTTTGTCAAAGTGCCTGTAGCTTTATTTAACTTTTGGAAGTTCATGTATACACTTCTAATTTTAGATAAATGAACAAAAGCCTGTCATTGTTGCCTAGTAAACTATGAGAACTTACAGGTATGGGTCCATATTGTGAGACTGGTTAGATTTATGGACTTAACTTCATAGCTGAAGGAAAAGGAAAATTCAAGAAGGTCTCAACGAGGAACTTTCTAATTTCATTGTTTTCAAATTACAGAGTGCACAGGATCCCTTGCGGGGCGGCTTGGTAAATGTAGACTCACAAGCTCTGAAGATTATAGTTTGAAAAACATGGTCTTCAATCACACAAAATAATGAAAGTTTAATCAGAATTAGAAGAATACCGTCCACATTTATTAGCTACAAGAATACCGTGCACATTTATTAGCTACAACTTTTCACTTCTTATTTAGTATAGATAGAGATAAACAAGTTGTTTTCAATGTGGAAAAATAAAGAATTTTGGCTTCCAACTGGAGTCTTATAAAACTATATTTCTTTTCATTTATTTCTTGTATGACATTTCTTCTTTTCCATGTATTTGATAGCGATGGCAATAAGGCTTGAGCCCAATTTTGTTTAGTTTTTCAAATATAGAAAAGTTTTGAAAAAATCTTTTCATTCATCTCTGTCTATTTGTGACCATACAGATTTTGAAGGTAGGTGGCTATTTTTTCTGACCAGCTAGACTTAGGAGCCACAAAATTTCAGAAATGAGGATATCAAGGATATAATGGGAATTCTTCTCTATAGCCATAGTATATTATTAATGGGGAAAATATCACAGAACTGCTGTGTATAGCATAGTCTCATTAAAATTGTACATATACTATTTTTTTTGGAGCTACTAAACATCTTCAATGTTTCATACAAATCCCTAATTACTGACTTACAGTGGAGAGTAGGATTAGGGCAAAAGTAGACAACGTGCACTCTTTTCCCTGAACATGTTTACTTTTTTAAATCTACAGGTATTAATTAAACTTACTTTTTAAATATTTATTTGTAATAATAAACCCTAAAATATATGTGTAGCAGACTCTTATTTTTATTGGGTGGGGAAACATGGGAGGAGGCCCTTAGTAGTAAGTGGGCCTACCTGCCTACCTATATGTATAACAGACAACGAGCACTGGACAGGTCACCCTAGCCTCCCCAAGTGCGCTCTTTGTCAACACAATGTTATAACACTACCTTGGTTTTCAGGTGTGGGGTTAGCCACCAGGAAACTGGGAAATCTGGCCAAACCCAGTGTGATCATCAGCAAGAAAGGGGACTATATTACTATACGAACTGAAAGTGCTTTTAAAAACACAGAGATCACCTTCAAGCTGGGCCAGGAATTTGAAGAAACCACAGCTGACAATAGGAAAACCAAGGTAATCTTTAACATTTTTCTTTACTATTGGTTCAAGCAACTGCTTGAGAGAGAGAAGGTTATGCTGCTAGTATTTAACAGAGTTGAAATGATCATGCTTCTCAAGACATCTGCTATGAAATGGTTCAGGACTGAATGAATAGCTTCTTGGATCAGCTTAAGTCCAGCAAGTCAGTGACATGCAGTTGTGTTTGCAGAGCATTGTAACCCTGGAGAAAGGCTCACTGAATCAAGTACAGAAATGGGACGGCAAAGAGACCACCATAAAGAGAAAGGTGGTGGACGGAAAACTGGTAATGGTAAGAGTATTTCTAATTCTAAATACCAAAATAATGCTATGTAAATAAGAGGGTTATATTATTTTCAAAATGTTCTTTGTTCTTTGGAATACAAAGGACAAAATGGCAAAGAATAAAGTCAAGATTAATGCTTGACTGATATTTAAATCATAAAAGACTCATCTGCAAGAACTGGATCAAGATTTTAGAAATAACAAAGTTGATTTGTTAGTTTTAGAAATAACAATATCTACAAAGTGAGAGTAAAATTCAAGAAAGTATGAATAAATCTCTTACTGGTTTGAACTCTAAAATACATGTCTAAACTTTAATAGCAAAATGCATCCTGAAAGGCTCAATTGTAGAATATTTGTAGACATCTAAGCATTCTGCTTCCAAGAATCTATAGTAACATACACCGAACCATGTTATCAGGCAAGCTGAGCTCCAGGGAGACCTCTTCTTAGTAGATGAGATTGATGACAAAGGTTACCTGAGATGACCTCTGATGATTTTTTTAAGGTTAAGGCTCCATGCTTAATAATTAACAAATACATCAAATGTAAACTGATTCCTGTCATGTTAGGAATGTTACTTTTAAGAGGCACTTAGCCCTTGCTGCACAACAGATTAACATAGGGGTATATTCCAAAATGGGGGCCCAATATGGATCAATTGAATGCAGATCTCCTGGGGTGGGATCAGTATGTTTAAATATTCTCCAGATAGGGTAAATCATTTTGAAAACCACTCTTTTAGTATATTTAAATGCATACAAATAGTGCAAAAAACCTTGCCACTTTAAAAAAATTCCTTTATAGTAAAATATCAACTTTAAAACTATTTCTCTAGTTTCAATGGTCATCATCCTAAATTACTGGATATTGGCATACTGGGATATTTTATTTCTTTCTAAATTTCATCTTATATGTTTATTTTTAATTTCTAATTTTATCATAAATTTGTTGTTCTCTGTCTTGAGTTTTAGATACTTAATCTTTTTTTCTTTTCTTAAGGAATGTATGATGAAGGGCGTGGTGTGCACCAGAATTTACGAGAAGGTCTGAGAAAAACATTTACCCACTGAGTGGTATTTAGTCACTTAATATTGGAAATAAATTGCTTCCATTGGCAAGACCCAACTACTCTCCAGTTTGCTTTTTGGTTTGAATTTTTTTGTTTTTGTTTTTGTTTTGTTTGGGTTTTTGTCTTCACATGCCAGATTGACAAAGCCCTTAACTGAGTCTTAATCTAAAAACCACTGCTATTTAAATATTTTCAATTTGTGTACATGTGCTTATTATATTAACTCATCTATATCTAGCCAGACTTAAATAATTGATAATGTCATTAATTTCTAAGAAATTCTAATCTATGGTATTCTGATTATTTAAAATAATAATTAAAAGAAGTAATGGGATAATAAAAGGATGTAAAAGTTTACTTACGGGGGTAGCAAACTCAAACGCCTTCTGGGACCAGAGAGTTATAAGCCCATAAGGAAGCCACAAAGAAGCAATTCAGAAAGAGCAGTTTTAAATGAAGGAGTTCTAGTTTCAACTAAAAGGAGCAGCCTTAATTCAACTTCAACCAGTTTTTTAAAATTAAGGGCTAGTTTATAGGCAGTGAAAGGGACAGATACTGAGGACAGAGTTGAATGCATTGTGACAAATGCAAGCACTCATGTAACTCTCATCTAAACAAAGATACAAAACATTTCCTTAATCCCAGAAAGTTTCTCAATCCCCTTCCCAGGCAATGCCCTACCCTGTCCCATCCCTACCAAAAGCAAGTACAGTAGTGATTTGGTTCTATCACCATAAGTTAGTTTTGCCTGTTCCTATATATGGAACCATGGTGTTTTCTGTTTGCCCTTTTAAACTTAGCATTCTTTGAAATTCATCCCTATTGTTGCATGTAATAGTGGTTTGATCCTTTTGTTCCAAATACTATTCCATTGTATGACTATGTCATTTTATCTGTTTATCCTTCAGTTAATACAGTTGGGCTGTTACCAATTTTTGGCTAGTGTGAATAAAGCTGCTACATTCTTGTACAAGACTTTTTGTGGACATATGTGTTCTGTCCTTTGGATAAATAAATAGTCATAGAGTTATTGAGTCTGGTAATTTTTGACAGGCAAGAATGGGGACCACTGTGCCCAAGTATAAATGAAATTGTATTATATGACTGAATAAATGACAAAATGCATTGATGTTGGTGGGAAACAGGATGCTCACTGAGGAAGAAGGCACATATAAATATTAATGAGGGAAGAAAAGAAAGAACCATGAAGGAATATAATGGATCTATGTATACTCATGGTTTCTAAACCATGAATATGTTATATGGTATTAGTTAGCTTTTCATTGCTATGACAAAACACCTGAGAAAAACAACTTAAAGAAGGAAATATTTATTTTGACTCACAGTTTCAGAAGTTTCAGTTCAAGTCAGCTGACTATTGTTTCTGGATCTATGGTGAGGCAGAAAATCATGGTGAAAGGGCATGGCAGAGAAAATTTCCCACCTCGTGGCAGGTAGGAAGTAGAAAGAAAGCAAGAAAGGGACCAGGGACAAGATACACTCTTCCAGGGGATACCCCCAGTGACCCATATCCTCCAACTACCCCCCCCCCGCCCATTCCTACAGTTTCTACCATCTATCAATAATGCCATCAAATTATGAAGCCATCAATGGATTAATCCACTCATGAGAGCGGAGTCCATGATCCAATCACTTTCAAAAGTCCCACCTCTAAACATTGCTGCATTGGAGACAAAGCCTTCAACATATGAGCCTTTGAGGGACATTCCAGATCCAAACTGTAACAATGGGTATAAATAGAAATAATTCCACATACATATCTGCATGCATATGTGTGTGCAATGTACATATCTATTTATGTGTTTTACACATACATGTACACATGCAGTTTTATCTGCCAAAAGACATTAGAAGTAAAACCTCAATAGAAATAAGCATGCCTAGGACTCAGATTCTCAACTAAAGGAACCAATGTTCCTTGGAGAAATGGTTGAATCCAAAGCAAAGGCAGGGTAGGTACAAGATGAGCCTAAAATATCTTTTTACACTAGAAAAATTTTTAAGTGCTCAGAGAAATAGAGGTATTATACCCAAATATGAAGGAACTCTCATTGGCCAAATTTAGGACAATTTGAATGCAAAAATATAAGAAATCATAAATTGTAAACCATTAAGAAAAAAAGTAGAACTCATACATCCATAATGATAATAAAAGAGAGAGAGAGATAGAAATGAAAAGATAGAACTCATACATCATAATGATGAGAGAGAGAGAGAGAGAGAGAGAGAGAGAGAGAGAGAGAGAGAGAGAAATGAAAAGGAGGTATTTTCTTTACAATAAAATGGCATGTGCTTCCTGGTAAATGTGGAAGAAGTTCTGGAACCAGAGAACCATCATTTTCCAAGCATCACAAAAAATATTGGCTCAGGCAAGAATTATCACGGATGCTAAAGCTAGGGTGAAATTCTGATGAAGAGCAGAGTATTAGCTTGACCTTACAACATCTCCTTGCAAACTGCGGATTTCTTTCTTTCAAGGGGGGAAAAAATAGTTCCTAAGCAGTGAAAACACGGAACCCCTTGACTGGGTTATCAAAGCTAACTTTGACAATAAAGGGCAGATGAACAAGATGTACCTGCAAATATGATGTGTGGAGAAGGAGATAAGGTCATTTTTGTCGTGTTTTGGCCTGGAATCCATACCTGAATCTAAATATGAGTAAACATCAAATTCCAAAAGAGGAATGTTCTATCAATAAAAGGGGGAGGAATGCATGCAGGAGGGAGTTGACGGAATTCTTTTAAAAAAATGCTGGGACAAAGAAAGGATGTGGAAATATTCCAGATTAAATCATACTAAAAACATGTGACAACTATATCCAAAAAAAAAAAAAAAATCCTAGAATGGAACTTGTGTTAAAGGTAAAATAAATGCTCCAAAGGATAATATTAGATCTATTAGACAGTACATGGGAGATTGGAATAAAAGTACACTGACATGTAAAAGGGTGTCTTGAGAAACACACACTGATATAGTTTGAGGTCATGGGCCATGTGCATGCAGTTTACTCTCAAAAACTTCAAAAAAAATCTATGTGTGTATGTTTGTGGGTGTGTACATGTACATATACATAGAAAAAATTGATAAAGCAAATGGGTAAAATTGAAGAGCTGAGGAATTTTCTTTGAATTAATCTGATTCTTGCCACTTTTCTGTATATTTGAAAGTAGTTCCCTTTAAGGTTCTTAAAAGTTGGGGATGACGTTCAACCTTGCATAGCGTGTGTGATGCCCTGGGTTTGATCCCGCAGCACGGCATTTGGCAAGCATTTCCCTGCCTCTCAGTTTTCTGTTGACTAGTGTCTGGATGTTATTTTTTTGATTTCTGATTTGTTTTACAAAAATCACGAGTACTTTTTTACTTTCATAATAGGAAAAGTGAAGCACTGATAATGAGGAAAATAAAATAATCATTTAAGCAGGTAGTCCAAGTTGCTAGATTTGAAAAGGATTTTTAAACAACCAGAAAAGAGACTGGGGGAACCTTAGGTCTTAGTCCATTTCTGCTGCTATAACAAAACACTATAACCTGGATGACTTATGCACAACAGAAATTTATTTTTCACTGTTCTGGCAACTGGGAAGTCCAAGATCAAGAAACTGGCAGATTTGCTGTCTGATAAATGTCTTCCTCATTCATAGATGATGTCTTCTGTCTCAAAATACTACAATGTTTAGGGTCTTGCTAAGTTGCTGAGGCTGGCCTTGAACTTGTGATCCCCTGCCTCAGCTGGGTAACTGGCATTACAAGCATATGCCATCACACCCAGCTGGGGGAAATGCTTATGAGGATATTTAGAAGAGCTAAAGGAGGAAACTACTTGATTGGTTGAAGTGGAGGTTAGTTGATGTTTTCTGACTGGTTAACTTTAGGTTTTATTTTATTTTCCACTGAGTTGTGTTTTAGTTTATTTAGGTAGGAATCCAGAACTCTAGAGCTATCTCAGCCTAATTACAATTACATTTTAAGTGATATTTAAAACAGGTGCATTATAGTTTTAGAGTGAAATTCACTGAAATATTCGTACGTGAACATGACATAGTTTGGATAATTTCATTCTTCTGTTCCTCCCCTTCCCCATTCCTTCTCTTCCCCCTCATTATCTTTCCTTCACTTCACTGTTCTTCATCCTATTTTTATGAAATTTCTCCTTTTGATTTCTTATTTCTCTCTAGCTTCTATATATAAGAGATAATATTTGACCCTTGACTTTCTGCATCTGAGTTATTTTACTCAGCATGATGTTCTCCAGTTTCATTCATTTACTAGTAAATGACCTAATTTCAGTCTTCTCTATGGCTGAGTAAAACTTCATTGTGTATATATACAGCATTTCCTTCATCCAGTTGTCTATTGAGAGATTCCATAATTTGACTATTATAAATTGTGCTGCTACAAACATTAGTAGGCATGCATCACTATAGTATGCTGATTTTAATTCTTTTGGATAAATACCCAGGAATGAGAGAGCTGGATTATATGGTAGTTCCACTCCTAGTCTTCTGAGGAATCTCATACTACTTTCCATAGTGATTGTGCTAATTTGCCAACCCAACAGTAATGTATGAGTGTACCTTTTCAACCACATCTCACCAGCATTTTTTATTACTTATAATTTTGATGATTACCATTTTAACTAGAGTAAGATGAAATTTCAACATATCTTTGATATTCGTTTCCCTGAATGTTAATAATGAATTTTCTGAGAAAGAAATTAGGAAAACGTTAGGCACGGTGTGCATGCCTGTAACACCAACAGCTTGGGAGGCTGAGGCAGGAGGATTGCAAGTCCAAAGCCAGCCTCAGCAAAAGCAATGTGCTAAGCAACTCAGTGAGACCCTGTCTATAAATAAAATACAAAATAGGGCTGGGGATGTGGCTCGGTGGTCTAGTGCTCCTGAATTCAATCCCCAGTACCTCCACCCCCTGCAAAAAAAATTAGGAAAACAATTCCATTCA